CCCATCGGGAACGGCTCGCCCGGAGGAGGAGGCCGAATCCCGGCCCCGTTGGAGCAGGGGGTGGTGTCCGCCTTCAAGCAGCTCTACAAGCGGGAGTTGCTCCGCCTGGCCGTCTCCTGCGTGGCCGGTGGCTCCGGTGGCCCCATGGACTTTGTGCGGTCCTTCCTCCTCAAGGACATGTTGTACCTGGCTGGTCTCTCCTGGGACCTCATCCCGCCCGGCTCCATCGAGAAATGTTGGCTGCTGGGCTTGCGCGCCGCCTTCGAGCCCCAGCCCGGGGAGGAAGAGCATGGAGAACCTCCACACGGGGAGGAAGGTGGCGGTGGTGGGGACAGCAAAGTCTTCAGCGACCTGACCCACCTGGCCGCCTTGGCCTACAAACGCTTGGCTCCTGAAGAGGTGGCCGACTGGTTGCACTTGGATGACGCAGCCCCGGGGACGGAGGAGGATGATGGGGAAGAAGATGCTGAGGAGGAAGGCCCGGGGGGCTGTGGGGCAGAAGAGGAGGAGGAGGAGGTGGCAGGTGGTGGAGATGGGGATGGCAGGAGGGTTGGGGAAGGAGGGGATGGCTTGTTGCCCACGGCTCGGGAAGCCATCAAAGGTCTGGAGACAGCGTTGCGTTGGCTGGAGGGTCAGGACCCCCGGCAAGTGGGGCCACTGAAGCTGGTGCAGCTCCGTTCCCTCATCAGCATGGCCCAGCGGCTGCACCGCGGTGGTAGCCCCCATTCCTAGGGCTTGGCCAACCGCAGACCTCTTGGCTACCAACCTCTCGGCTACCAACCGCCCCACTTGGGGTCGGGGTGGGGGGGAGAACATGGGGCTGGGGACACCCCAGTTGCCCCAGGGAGCTGGCGGTGGAGGTTCCAGCTCCCCTTACCCCTCCGTCATGGGGCTCAGGAGGCCCCTGGGTTACCACGGCTAAGAGGGGGTTACAATTTAGGGCTAATGGGGATTTTTTGGGGCAACATCCCCTCTGTACGTTGCGCGTTCAAGGGTTGTTCCTCACCTGAGTATATTTAGGAGGTGCTATTTTTTAAAATCCCATGAGACGGAGCAGAGGTGGCCCCCTGGTCACCAGCGCCGCTAAAAGGGGATGGATGCTCCCCCCCGACGCTGCCTGGTCCCCCCGATGCCGTGGGGAGAAGGGGTGAAGGAGGGACCTGCTCAGCATCACCGTGAGGAGCTGGGATGATGGGGGAAGTTACACCAAGTAATTCCCCACATCTCGAAGTGGGGCTGGACAAGAACCACTCCTGGGGGGCCGTCACTCCTGGTGATGCCCTTCCCACTGCCGAAATGGAGTCCTGTTAAACTGGGGGAGGTTTGGGACTGTGGGGAGGACAAGGACCACTCCTGGGGGTCGTCACTCCTGGTGACGCCCTTCCCACTGCCGAAACGGAGTCCTGTTAAACTGGGGGAGGTTTGGGACTGGTTTAAGCATCACCGTGAGGAGCTGGGATGATGGGGGAAGTTACACCAAGTAATTCCCCACATTGCGCGTTCAAGGGTTGTTCCTCACCTGAGTATATTTAGGAGGTGCTATTTTTTAAAATCCCATGAGACGGAGCAGAGGTGGCCCCCTGGTCACCAGCGCCGCTAAAAGGGGATGGATGCTCCCCCCCGACGCTGCCTGGTCCCCCCGATGCCGTGGGGAGAAGGGGTGAAGGAGGGACCTGCTCAGCATCACCGTGAGGAGCTGGGATGATGGGGGAAGTTACACCAAGTAATTCCCCACATCTCGAAGTGGGGCTGGACAAGAACCACTCCTGGGGGGCCGTCACTCCTGGTGATGCCCTTCCCACTGCCGAAATGGAGTCCTGTTAAACTGGGGGAGGTTTGGGACTGGTTTAAGACGACTTTCTTCATGCACTGAATTGGTGGCATCCAAGAAGGTCACCTCCGTTGTTTCCATGACAGCCCCCCGTGCCCGGGAGCGCCCAGACCACGGAGACCTGCTGAAAACAGGTACCATCATCCATCCTCACATCACCGAAGGCTGCGGGGATGGGGGTTGAGGTGTCCTCCTGGGAATTTCCAGGGTGGCTGGGGGTTGGAGGACACGTCTTGCAGTGACATTTGCCGGCGTGACACACGTCGCGAGTTGAGATAGGAGCGGGGAGGGCTCCCAGCGCTGCCTTGAAATGCTGGAGGCATCAGATGTGAATTTAGCAGCTCTTGACCTGATTTTTTGATTTAAATTTTAACCTGTTTAGCCAAATTATTGAAAGGAGAAAAAATTATTGAAAAAAAAAAATACCCACCCAACTCATCGGTGCTGCCCTGCCCCGTGTCAACATGCGGCCTGGATGGTTTTACTTGTCGCGTCTTTGTCTCATAACTTCAGAGTTTATGGAAATTAAATGGATTTTTATTCCCACTTTGGGGTTCTCTTCCATAAATGATCACGCAGAACCATCCCAGCAGGGTTGGGGGTGGCAGAAAAGGGACCTCCATGAGGTTGTGTCCTCTTGGTGTGGTCTCCTCCGTCACGTTCCCCTCCTCTCTGCAGCCCGAGCTGCTGCAGCTGCTCCCCAAATTGAGTTTTTTTACTATATTAGTAGAGTTAATTTGCCGATAAACGAGCCTGCCAGGGAATTTAGGGAGCAGCAAGAACAAAAAAGAACAAAAAAAGTCAGATTCGGAGCTGAGGTTTGTCCTTTTTGATCATGAAACTCCACTGCAGAACCGATGTCAAGAAAAACTTTGGATTAGGGGAGAAATGCACTTTTTTCCCACCCCCACAAACCCAACTGACCTCAAGTTCTGCCCCCAAAAAACCCCTAGAAAAACATTCTACAGCTTGGGATGTGGCTCACTTTAAGGGGTAGTTTGTGAATTAAAGGAGTTTTCGGTTGTTTGAGAAAGATGTTGCCAAGCTCAGCAGAAGGTACCAGGCTGGAGATCTTCACTTCTCCTGTAGGTCACCGTTCGGTCTGGTTGGGGAAGTGAGAATATCAAATCATGGAATGGTTTGGGTTGGAGGAGACCTTGAAAGATCACCTAGTCCAACCCTCCTGCCTTGGATGGGGACATCTTTCACTGGACCAGGTTGCTCCAAGCCCTGTCCAACCTGGCCTTGAACCCCACCAGGGATGGGGCAGCCACAGCTTCTCTGGCCAACCTGGGCCAGGGTCTTACTGAACTGAGGAGCTACCAGGTGGCTTGGAACCCTTGAGGACCCATGTAGATTCCATGAACCCCTTCTCCAGCTACATGGTGAAACGAAGAGATGGGCAGGAGAGACAGGCAGGCTCAAGCTCCATCTGCAGCTTTTGTGCAACTTTGCTAATTAATTAGGTGCCTTGAGAAGGTGCCCAGGGAGGTCATGCCTTGGCATGACCCGGCAGCGCCGTTAGGGCTGTGGCATCTCCCTTGGCTTGGTGACGGCATCCCTGGGGATGGGGTCAAAGCTGTAGGAGCTGAAGGCTCAGCATCCAGCTGTTTCCCCAGCGATGTTTTGCCTGGAAAAGAGCCTTTCATCTTCAAAGCCGTTCACAAAATCATCACTAATTGCATCCGTGCAAGTGCCGGGAGGCAAACGAAGCTTAATTAGGGCACGCAAAAACCTCAGATCCTCTCCAGATAGGTGAGCTTGGAATTTCTCCTCCCTTGATGTCCAGCACCCTGGGGCTGAGAGGGGGTCTGGGCTTCCATCCTGCTGCTTCGCTGATGGAGGAAGACCCATCTACGGGACCGTGGGGCGATGCCGGTGCCCGGCCCGGGTGGGAGATGAAGGTTTTTTGGCTTGGTTGACTTCTTGCCCATGGTTCTGGGATGTGGACAGCAGCGTTGGCACATGCATCTCCAGAGTGGAGCAGAGGAGCTGGCATTGGTGGCCACGTGTAACCCAAGCACCGAGTGTCCCCGCTCAGCGCCACGTTGGGAAATCAAAGCCTTTCTCCTCATTTCTCAAGGTCTTTTGGTATCTTCATGGCACCTCCAATGGTCCTCACCACCTGCAGCCGCTCTGTCCAGCCCCAGAAGGCTTGATTTAGGATCAACCCATCCCCAAAACCCTGTCCCCATCCCCATACATCCCAGCAACACACCAGTGCCCATAGAGCCAACGTGGCATGAGCTCCATCCCCGCTGGCCCATGGACTCATGGCTGTCACCTCCCCATGGAGGTGACCCCGTGCTGAGTGCAGTAGCCCCCCCAGGACTGAAGGGACCAGAAACAGCCAAACCTGCCATTGTGTTGTCCATGTTTATTCGGTCCCAGCTCTGCAGAGGTAGCACATGGCATGGACCCATGTCCACACCATCTCCCACCCCCGGCCAGGGTCTCCCAGGGGTGTCGAGGTCCCTGAAGGGCTTTGGTCTGGTCCCCATTGCCCCTCCTGCCCCATGGGGGATGGAGAGGGCTTGTCCCCAGCCAGGCTGCTAGTCCTCGGCCACATCACATGCCCGGTTGGTGGCCGCCTCCACGGCGTTCATGACGGTGGCCCGCAAAGCCCCCTTCTCCAGCTGGTGCAGCGCGTGGATGGTGGTGCCCCCAGGGGTGCAAACATCTCCTCGCAGCTTCGCCGGGTGCTCCCCCGTCTCCAGCATCATCTTTGCTGCACCCTACGGGGAACCCGGGGGTGAGTCAGAGAGAAGGGGACCTCCCAAACCTCCCCTTCTCCTTCCAGCATCCTCCCATCGCCCACATCCCATGGTAGGGGACAAGGCGCTGAAGCATCTGTCCCACCACCATGCCCTTTGGTGTCTCCTGGTGGCCTCATCTTCGGTTTCAAGAGAGGAAACTGAGGCAGGAGGCCATACAGCGTGTTCTCCCTCACTCTGCCACCCTGCCTGGTGCCACAGAGCCCAGGGCAGTGACGAGGTGACCGAGCCAGGTGGGAGTTGAGGGACAGGAGTGATGTTGGGTGTCCCCAACCCATGGCACCGACTCACCAGCAGCGTCTGCGCCGCGATCCTGCTGGCCAAGCCACCCGGCATGCCCATCTTCACCGCTCCCTCGGCCAAAGCTTCAGCAAACAGGTAGACCTGAAGCAGAAGAACATGATAGGGATGAACGTGGCAAAATAGGAGCCAACCCCAACCCCGTGCTGGTGGGATTTCTGCCCGTGTCCCATATCCCACCAACAAGCCCATGGGTGCTTACGTAGGCCACCCCGCTGCCGCTGAGGCCAGTGTGGATATTGATGTAGGACTCGGGGACTTCCTCGCAGAGCCCGCAGGAGGACAGAAGGCTCTTCAGCAGGGCAGCTTCTCCATCACCAGCGCCGCTGCCCCGGGCGAAGACCATCGCCCCAGCCTGCACCACGCAGGGCAGGTTGGGCATGAGCCGCAGCACTTTGGTCCCGGCGGGGAGAAGCTGGGGAGAAATGGGGATGGAAGAGGGGTGCCACCTCCAGGAAGCACCCAGGGGTGCCCTGAGACACCGGTGGGTATCACCCATTGGGGCTGGTGGAGAAGCACGGTCCATGGAAGGACCTGGAGGTGCAACCCAAGTGGGGACAGAGCCACAGCGATGTGTGCTTCTCCATGGAGAAGGAGGAGGAGGAGAAGGAGGAGGAGGAGAAGGAGGAGAAGGAGGAGAAGGAGAAGGAGGAGAAACCTCACCCGCTGCAGCGTCTGGAGGGTGACACCAGCCGCCAGCGAGACGACGATGTGGTGGGGTCCCACAGCAGGACGGATCTCCTGCAGGACGCCTGGCAGGACGTGGGGTTTGGTGGCCAAGAAGACCAAGGTGCTCTCCTGAAGCACCTCCAGGTTGCAGTGTGTGGTCCGGCAGCCCGACTCCTGCTCACGGGTGAGGAGAGATGTCATTGTCACCCCCAGCCACCCCCGTGGACAAGGAACATTCGCATGCGGGGACACGGCTGGAGGACCAAGCCACCAAGGGTTCCATTCAGACCTGGGAATGAAGAGCCCAAGCCCTGCGTGGGGGAAAAGGTTGCCCCAAACTAGCATCGAGGGGACACCCCAACATGCCTCCCACCTCCACGGCCACCAAAAGGGGTGGCTTGTCACCCCATGTCCCCACTTACCCGCCAGGCGTCCAGGTTTTTGTCCGAGGGAGCGCTGGCCAAGATGCTGCTGGCTGGCACCTTCCCTTGAGGAACATGGGGACAGGGGTGAGTGTCCCCAGGGTGGTGGGGACACCCCAGCACAGCTTGGGCACCCCCATCTCCGCTGGGATGTCCCCTCCTCCAACCCTCCAACGAGGGGCACATGAGGAGGAGGGACAGGGTTGTGCCCCTGCTATCTGTGGGGCAAGGACCCTGGGGGAGGGGTGTGGGACAGGGCTGTCCCCACGTCCCTGCACCGCTCTATGGGACAGGGACATCATGGAGGGCAAGGACCTTGAGGATGGGGTCAGGACGGGGTTGTCCCCGTGTCCCCACACTGATCTGTGGGGCAGGGACCCCATAGAGGGCAGAGACCCCGTGGAGGGGAGGATAATGGGGTTGTCCCCATGTCCTCACCCTGATCTGTGGGGCAGGAACCCTGGGAATGGGGGCAGGACAGGGTTGTCCCCATGTCCCCACACTGATCTGTGGGGCAGGGACCCCATGGAGGACAGAGACCCCGTGGAGAGGGGGATAACGGGGTTCTCCCCATGTCCCCACACTGATCTATGGGGCAGGGACCCTCGGAATGGGGGCAGGACGGGGTTGTCCCCATGTCCCCACACTGATCTGTGGGGCAGGAACCCTGCGGAGGGGATCAGGACAGGGTTGTCCCCATGTCCCTGCACCGCTCTATGGGGCAGGGCCATCATGGAGGGCAAGGACCTTGAGGAGGGGGGGTCAGGACGGGGCGGTCCCCGTGTCCCCACACTGATCTATGGGGCAGGACCCCTCGGGCCGTCCCGTCCCGCCCCCCCTTTCCCC